TTTTTTTTTTTTTTTTTTTCCTCTTCAGGCCCGTGTGCCCTGCCACGGACGAAGTTTTACAGATAAGTCCATGACAACGTTTCAGGCTGTTTCATGCCACCCATTGATAAAACTGGGCAGAAATAGCAGAGCTGGAATGGAACTGTTTGTTCTGGGAGTACATCGTTCCCTCGGGGTGTAGTACTTTTCAGAATATACATTGCACCATGCTGCTGCTTCCTTCCCAGATAGAGTCCCCGCTCCCGTGTTGTGCATGACACTGCCTTTCTCTTTCCTGAGAATGGCTCTTTGCTCTTTTCTGCAGGGGCATTGCCTTTACCAGCTCCCTGATGTGTCCTGGTGTCCCCACAGTGAAGAAAGATTGCACTTCTCTGCATTGTATTCAAAAAATTTTACTCTTGGTCTATTCCTTCTCAAAAGGGAAGCAATGTGTTACAAAAAGTACAGATGTTTTCAGGGTGTAAGGGGGAAATGCCATTGCCAGCACACCAGCAAAATGGTGTATATGCTCATAATGTGAGGAAATTCTTCCAGATCTGGACAGCCAGGGAGCCCAGAGCTTCATTGCATGCTCCATCATCTCCTTTTTCACTCCAGATCCCTATCCGTTTTCAGGGCTTACAGCCTCATTCCGTGCCCCACCGCCTCAATTTTAAGCCATAACCCCCCATGCGGAGGGTTCAGAGCTTCATTTGAAAAATGCCAAGTCTCACTTCAGGGTCCAAAACCTCATGCGTAAAACCCAGAGAGTCATTTCAGGATTCAGAGTGCCCTCTTTCAGTCCAAATCCCCATTTGGAGGATGAGCACTGAGGGGTCTTGGCTTTGCCAGTGGGAAAAGGGGAGGCTCAGTGCATGCCCGGAGGGGACCAGGGGATCCACAAGAGCAGTGGGAGGGCAATAGAGGAGAGGTGAGCACTGGGCTATGGAAACACAGAGGGGAGAGCATGCGACAAGGAGAGAGATGAGCTTGGCCATGGGAAGTGGAAGGCACGTGAGCATACTGGGAGGGAGCAGAGGCTATGCCAGCAGCTCTAGGAGGGAGCAGAAAGGACGTAAGCATGCCCGGAAGGTATGCTTAAGGGACTCCAGCCATCTGTAAAGGGGAAAGGGAGGATGGTGGAATGCTGTGGAAAGGACTGAAAGAGATGTGCCTGTGAACTGATAAGGGCGACTCAGTGCTTGCAGCCAGGATAGTAGAGAAGACATGAAGACACACTTCAGGGAACGGAGGGGCTCTGTGTGACAGCAATACAAGAGATTTGGAGCAGCAAACTTGGGCATCCTGTACTCCTGGAGGTATGCAAGGGGTTGCTTCCTTTGGCCACTTTGCCTTGGTAATGCATACTTTTATGAACACATGTGCCCTTCCCTCTGCCCCAAGGGCCTTACAAAGGGAACATTGGTACTGCTAGCCCTGGCAACTGGCACCACGTGTCACTTCACATCATCAAGAGTCACTAAACCTTTTGTGATGTCAGAAAGCGCTCAGCAGAACTGGGGCCCCACAAGCACAGCCCCCACAAGCACAGTGTCTGCAGGTGCAGGTGCAGGTGCTGGTGCTGGTGCTGGTATTGGTACTGGCAGTGTTGGCACTGGTGGTAGTGCCCAGTCCCGACAGATCATGGAGAAGATTCGAAAGTTTTTCTGGAGATTAAGGAAGACACAGAGAAGGTCTGTGCCTGCTAATTTCTGTTCTCTAGGGCACATAGGTGTGCTTAAAAGCCTGGCAAAATCAGCACATGTCCTGATGATGGCAGCTCAGCCCACAGGCAAATTCGGCCTCCCTGCACGTAGCCCATCCTGTGCATATATACCTCCCAGAATGACAGGACACCCGTGCTAGACATCATTTCTTCCCCTCCGGTCACCCCCTCCATCTCCTGCCTCCATTGGCCAGTATCAACTGGAAGCAGGAAGAAAGGCTGCCTGGGGCTACTGTGGGCTGTCAGCACCCTTGGGATAAAGCGTGCTGTGTCCTTCATAGCAGTCTTGCTTTGAAGAAGATCTTGCTGATATACCGTAGCATACAGGAAAACAACATTTAAGTATGTACTAGCAAGTGTGTGCTGCTCTCTCCCAGTTTGCTGTCAGTCTGGAACGGGTGGCCGAGAAAGGACCATTAGGAGTGCAATAGGCAGTGTGCGCAACTGAATGTGCCTTCTGTCTTTTCTAGGTGCAGTGCTCGCGTGCATCCCATGGACTGCACAGAGCAGGAAAGCCAGGGAGAAGGCCCTTTGGAATATGAAGTCAAGCAGGTGACAGTCTTCTGGTTTTATAAAATGCTTGCCATTGCCTCCTCTTTTGAGCCGATTTCCTTAAATGTTGACAATTTCTATTCTTTAACTTTGAACAGGCAGAGGGCAGTGCAGATGGAGTAGCAGCGGCAACTTCTGCCCCGCTCCATCTCTCCAACATCGATGGAGCAGCAGTGGAAACTTCTGCCCCGCTCCGTCTCTCCGACATAGATGGAGTAGCAGTGGAAACTTCTGCCCCGCTCCGTCTCTCCGACATAGATGGAGTAGCAGTGGAAACTTCTGCCCCTCTCAGTCTCACCAAGACGTTTGAAAGTCACTCAAGCTCAGCAAACGATGCTGAGCAGGGATTTAAGAAACAATTTGAGCCCTCCTGCGTAGAAAACCTCTCTGGGAACATCCCTGAGTTGCCAAAGAGCAAGAAGACCTTGCCTCAGCAGCAGAAGAAATCCAATAGGAGACCTCACAGGCAAAAGAGACAACTGGAGCAATGGGAAGAAATGCTTGAGGAAAAGACATTGCTTTTAGAAGCAAGAGAAAAAGCATTTTTCCAGGCCCAGAGGCAGGCAGAGAAACGTCATGCTTCACACCTTGCAAAAAAAACTGCAGAGTGGGAAGTTCTGCAGGAACAAGTGGCCCAGCTCCAACGTGAAAACCTTTCACTGTGTCAGCAGCTGGAAGATGCTCAGAACACCAACCAGGTAAGAGCAGCGAGTGATGTTCTTTAAACGCAAAACAGACAGAGTGAAAGAAAAGGTCAGGCGGACACTGAAGTAGAGCAGCTCCCAAAGTCATCTGGCGCTCCTAGAATTTACCAGCTATGAGCTACCTGCCTGGAAGGCCCTCCCTTGGGTTGCCTCTGTTTAGTTCCCTTTCTGCTGCCATTTGGCAAGTGGCGAATTGCAGCTCTGCACCCCAGTGAGGGTCGGGCGATTCTCCTCTACCACTTTTCTTCCCTTTACGGTTCACTCAGAAATATGATCTAAGTATCGGAACTGATAAGCAAAAATAAAAACGCAGGCTTTAGTTTTTTACCTGTTGCTTCACACTCCTGCGCCATTGTTTCCTCTAGAGAACAGTCGGACAGCTCCAACAAGAACTTGCTGAGGCTGTTGGAAAGCAGCACGTCACAGAAGCATCCCTGAAAACTTCTGCCGACTTACATGACTCACTGAAGAAAGAAAACTCCAAGTTGCAAGAGGATGTGGACAAGGCTAATGCCAAGGTATGCAACATCTGTGAACACGTTAATAGGGGCGAAGCTGTTCATTTCCTCCAACGAGTGAAAGAGAAGAAATAAGCTGAGAACAAACATAGGACACAGTTGTTTTTCCACTGCATACAGGTGTGTGACCTTTCTGCACGGCTGGAGTTGGAGTACTCAAAGTTGCTGGTGCAAAAAAGGGCAAATGAGGAGCTGCGAGTGAAGGAGGCTGTTCTCAAGCAGCGCTTAGAGGTTGTATTGGAGGATTATAAAATAGCAGCGTGGATTGAAAAGAGGCGTGAAGAAAAAATGCAAGAGAAACTTGCCGACAGTTGCAGAAAGCAGTCGGTTTCAGAAATGTCTCTGAAGCGTTCTGAAAATCACTGCCGTAACCTGCAAAACGACGTCTTGATACTGAAGGAAAGCTTGGACAAGGCCAATGTCAAGGTATGCAATGCCTGCGAACATGTTGGCGTAGGTTAAGCTGTTCTTTTCTCCTAAATAGTGCAAGAGAAGAAATAATCTGAAAACAAGTGCAGGACACGTTTATCTGAAAGCAGTAAAAGACACGTCATTGTTAATGATGGTTTTCCTGATCACAGCATGATCTGATCTGAAACATCAACAAAGCCATCTGCTTTCAGCCACAAGTGAGAGGCAATGCCTTGCTGCAAAGGGGCAGTGGAAGCTCTTACTCAGTCCCTAGAGTACATTACTCTCCTTGCCTCCTCCCCTTTCACTTCACAGAACACAAGCAGCTTCTCGGGGAGCTCATTTTCAGGCTGCGGGGCAAAGCAGTGGCTTGGGAGCAGCATCCAGGGAAGGAAGAGCGCAGCAGCTTGTCCTCCTTCGAGAGTCGCTGCTGTTCTGATGCCTTTCCTGATGTTGTGGTGGTACTGCGACACCACGAGGCATGCCCCCACAAAGTGTCTCAAAGTTCAGCTGCTCTGTTTGCAAGTTCTCTCAATCTCAGCACCAAAATGAGATCTTTTTTCCCATTTAGTGGCATTCATGAGAAACAAAAGTACTCTCTTGCATTTTCCCTCCACGCTGGGAGGCCATTAGCAGAGGTGTGTGCAAATGAAAAGGAAAGGAGCCAGCCTGGTTTGCGATGAAAGCACCAGCAGAGAACAGGACCGCTCTTCTTGTCCACTGCCTGCTGGTGCTACCGTAATTCAGGATGAAAATATCAGCGCCTGCTGTTTTCCTCCCCTGGAAACAGTTTCAGCTCAGGAGATGGGTATCATGCAAACCACTTGCACTGACTGCTGCTGGGACACAACCCGTCCTCTACCTTTCCTACTAGCCGTCTCTGGGGAGGTCTGTGGAGGGAGCATTGCTTCACAGGCATGGGAGTTGCGTAATTCTGTTGAAGGAGTCAAGTGACTTTGCCTTGGAGCCATTCTGGAAAGAAGGGTCAAGACTGCTGCAGTCTTCTCAGCAAAGATTAGAAAGTCACACTTGCTTTAGAAAAAAACGCACCTCTTTTCTTTGGCAAAATTTACTGCCTCAGTGCATTACACTAGGGACTCCATCAACACACACATCTAAATGAGTTCCCCACATTCTGGGGAATTTTAGAGCGCTCTGATTAAGGGAGATTGTTTTTTTCCACTGCATACAGGTGTTTGAACTTTCCATACAGCTGGAGATGGAACGGCAAAACTCACTGCAGCTAGAAATGACAAATCGGGCGCTGCAAGACCTGGTTCACCAACATCGCCCACAGGCCACTGCAGCGGGCTGCAGCCCATTCTCAGAGACTGGAAGGTGGCATGAAGAAAGAGCCCCAGAAGAAATGGGGCAGAAGCAAGAGCCCAGCCTCTTTTTCCCGGTAAATTGATGCGCCGTTTCTATCTGTATCCACACCACGTTGATTTGTCGCTGTGCTCATTGCTTTTAGGAATTTTCTGTTAGATGTTCAGTTCTTATTGTTAGTTCAGTGCCTCTGGCTTCCTTGCAGGGAAGCTGGAGAGCTGAAGAGAGATGTGTGAAAGTGCCTCTGTGTGTGTTGTGTGATCTTGGTGTGTAAAAAATAGGCAGCCTTTTCCTCATCCCCTTCCTTACAGAGTTGGAGGTGGTTCAATACTAGCTGTCACATTAAAACAGCAGAAAGAGCAGGTATGTTTCTTTCTGAGGTAAAAGTAACGGAAAGACACTTAGTCATTTCTTACTTCTTTCCTGAGTGGTGATGGTAGGGATGAAGCACGGCTCCTTCACTGAGCAGGGCTATCTTGTTTCCATTGGATATGGGTACTGGCTGCAAGGGCACATGGATGTGGCACTGTCTGCCTCTTCCTGTTTCTTCAAGTTGCACTGTCTTCTTCTGATGCAGGCAGCCTCTCAAAGCAGGCTAGAGGAGATCAATGCCAAAGAGGCAATGTTTAGAAGGCAACAGAGGCAGAGAATTGCAGCTCTGACATCAGAAATGGAGAGAGCCCAAAGCATGCATCAGGAGAGCTTGCGGCAAATAGCACACTGGCAGGCAGAGCTAGACCTCTCAGAAAAACTGTTCCTGGTGGGTGAGGACATTAGAAGAAGCCTTGCAAATAAATAAGACAAGTAAGTGAAAACATTTTCTTCCTTTCCTTGGTGGTGGTGGTGGTGGTGGTTGTTGTCATTTGTTTGGTTGGTTGGTTTCCTTCAAGTAATACAATATACCTCCTCTTGTCACGGCTCTTCTACCCAGCATCCTTGTCTTGGTTCCAGTCCACGTGATGGATGCCCGTTCAAGACAGAATTCTTCTTCCAAGAGCACGCTTTGATCCCTTCTATTCTTGAGGACTGTTTTCTTTTCCCTTTCTGACTTTGAAGTTACAGAAAAAAATTAGTTAGTTTTCATGCAAGAATTATCAGTAATCTTCTCCCCTTTCCTTACCTCTAGTAGGAAAGAATTATTATTACTATGAGACAGAAGTAATCCATTCAGTCTCACTCATGACGGCGCTTCTTCAATTTGAGTTTTCACTGGGAGGAGAGAAATAGTCCTACGACCTTGTGGGAGAAGGCCTATAAATACAGCACAGTCTGGAAGCGTGAGAAGCAGAGCATCTGGCTAAGAAACTCAGATGCCTACTTCCCTAAATCCACGATCCTACTGGCCTGCTAATGTAGCGTAAGACCTGTGACAACGTGAGCAACAGCAGTTCTCGCACGCTTCTGCTTTTTTCGCAAAACTAATGAGAGGCCAGCAGAAACCAAGGACAAAGGCCTCAGGATGACCCACAAAGAAATTTCTCCATCGTGAGGCCAATGACTCTGGGCAACACCAAGAGAAAACAGAGAGGAGGACCTACATGTAAGCAGCTTTACGTTCTGTTCTTCAGTGGCCAGGTCTTTCAGAGGTGGGATTATTCCCCATCTGTAGGCTATGGAATTTCCTTTGCCACTTTCAGAAAGCTAGCGGCCCGATAGTCAAGCATGAAAAATCTTGCTTTGTCTGCGTTCCTGTCTTCCTTTGTTTCCCTGCTGGTGGCCTCAAATCTCTCCAGATCTTTGCACTCTCCTATCGCGCCCTATAGTTTTCCATTGAGTCTTTGCGCTCCATCTGCCGTTCAACTAACATCAGCCCTCGTGTTTCCTCTCCCAGTCACTGGTGAACATGAAGTCAGGCCTGCTGGGACTTCTCCTCAGAACACTCAAGAAGGATCTTCCACAAAAATGAATGAAGTCTCGGATGCCACGTTCAAGGCAACAGAGTCATACAACAATGCTTTAAGCAAAACTTTTAGAACTGAAATAAATACATATAATACATATTGTGAAAGGGGTTTACTCATTTTTAAGCCACAACCCTCCATGCTGATGGTTCAAGGTTTCATCTGAAAGATGCAGAGTCTCATTTCAGGGTTCCAAAACCTCATTTTTAGGATAACTGATAATTCCTTAGTTTTAGTAATTGCTTTCTTGGTTGCCGTTTGTTCCAGTTTCTGCCTCAGCCACGGTCCCAAGGAGACTTTTGCTTGAGAGTGAGGCTGAGCGTAGCTCCTCTCCTTGGTGGCTCCTTGTGACAGTTTGTTTCCAGCCCACCACCTTCCTCTTCTTGCCCGGCCGTTACACTCAAGGCCGCCTTCCAGCATATAATGAGCACAGTCCTGGTTACATTCAAGGCCTAAGGTGGCACTAAGATAGATAGCGACCACAACACTGGCCAGCCCCTGACTCGAAGTGTTTCTGATGCAGTGTAGGCAGAGCCAGAAGGGACAGGTAATCTCCCTGCACGTACAGAGGCAGCCTGTAAATAGCACAAGCAAGCATTACCTGTACACGGGGCATGATGTGGCAGTTGGCGTGCCAGTTGGTTACCTCTCTAGCCTGCAGGGAGGTGAGCATCCTGCAGGCTAGAGAGGTAAATTCAGTGGGTGATTATCACCCACTATGTACGGGGTCATTATCCTCTAAGTCCAGAATTCTCATCCTCCCAGAGTAGAGACCCCACTCGCGAGACCCACGCCATAGAGAGTCAGGGCACCTGAACAAATCAGAAAGCATGCAGAAACGCAGACTGAATTCCAAGGCAGACACATGGTGGCTGTTCAGTCCTCTGCACAGAGTTCCTGAGCCTTTCATTTGCATCCTGTGACAGCAGTGAGGAGAGCTGTATGAAGCGCAAGCAGGCAGATGATTTGCTCAGCCTGCTTGTGAGGTTACATGATGAAATAAATGGGTTTGAAAGTGTCAAAGGGGGCTAAAAAGAGAGGAGCAGAGGAACCACACTCTGCCCTGGACTTACAATGCCTGTGCTCCATCTCTGTTCCGTAAGGATATTGGGGGCTTACTGAAAGAATGCAAACATTTTATTTGGTTACATCAAGCAAGGGCCCAGGACCAGCACAAGTCTAAGAATCATAGCCCAAACACTTAGAGATACAAGCCCAATAGCTGAGGAGTTTCTTTTCTCATGGCAACTGACCATCTTTGGGGAACCACTTTCTGCAGTACTGATCCTCTGCTCATTTTCAGGTCCTGCAGTATACATCATATTTAATCTTCGTTGCCAGAATTGTTCCCCCTATGCATTCTTCAAATTTTTGGTCCATTTCTTCATTCTGAACTTCAGAGAAGAGGTCTCTCCAGCTTCCAACAACCCCTGTGTGCAACAAGAAGTAACAAGGATTGAAGGTGGCTGCTCCTGAAAGAGGGCAGTACATAGGCAGCGGTGGGGCCGACTCACGGCACATGTGAGATTGGATAAGTCTGATTTATGTCTCTGAGAGGCCTGATTGCCTAGAAGAGGCAAAGTAGCAAAATGTCATGGTTTTATGGGTTTTTTTTTTTTTTTTTTTCAGTATTCCACATCATAACATCATGTAGTGCATTGGGAGTTAAAGTGTTAATGCTCCAATTCCAAGTACCTATCCCTATACATCACAGAAGTCATGGGATCTGGCCCTTCTGGGTGGGGCGGTCTCTTACTGCCTTGCAGTGGGTGCTGGAGGGTGCTTTCCTAGCCGTTCCAAGCTTTTCAGATTTGACTCAGTCTCAGGAACTCTCTCATCTATTTTATTTGATTTATTAGTCTCAGTTTCAATTAGATTGTATTATATTGTGTTATCCTGCATCCCAATATCATAGTTAGTAAAATAAGTTTTCCTTCATCGTTGCCACTGTTTTTTTTCTTCCTTCCTTGAGCCCAGCTCCGATCTTCCTATCCCTTTTCCCTTTCCCTTCCCAGGGGCCTACTGCCCCCCTGTCATGGGCATAGATTGATCTAGTTAACTCCATGACACAAAGATAAGATAAAAAGTGAGCATTGGTGCCAGACTGCCAGAGAGGTTTTCCAAAGTGGTTTCATCCGTGTTTCTTCAGTGTTTACCTGCTTTTGTCACAAAGGGAGAGCTCATTTGCAAATGCCTCCCTCTGAAGGAGCAAGTTATTTGGAGCAGTAGAGTAGACCGTGAAGAGGAAAGGGGCAAAAGCAAGCCCATGCCCACAGCAGTCAGAAATCAGAGACTCTTGAGCAGTGGGGAGCAGCTGGGCTGCCCGAGCTCCAGCCCTGGCCTTACATCTGAGTAAATATCCCCACAACCACCACTGGCCCGTTCAGTGAGAGAAATCATATTGAGACTATTTCTCAGCTCTCACTCAGAATGTAGTATGATGCCCAGGAGGCCAACAGAGCAGTGAACGTGAGGTTCAAGAGATCCTTGCCACATTATCACAGCTTCTCCAAAAAAGGATTTTTGTGAGGTGACACATACAGTCAGAAAAGTCTAAAAGGCTGCTTGCAGCTCTACTCCGAAGATAGAAATGGTCAGGGGTTCTTTCTCCACACATCATACCAACCTGTTCTTCTTACTCTCCAGATCCACAATCAGCCTTTTCTCACAAATCATAAGCAAAGGCAACACCAACATCTATCCATAAAGAGGAACCACTGGACCCAAGCAGATTTGGTGCATAATTGTTGACATAACCTACTCCATAGTTAGCCTCCACCTGAACATCTCACTTACCTAACTAACTAGCATTGTTGCCACAGGGAAAGAGAGCAACATGGAAGCGATGGTTGAGAGCCTTAAGTGTGGATAACTGATTCACTTCACTACACTGCTCACAAATGACCCAAAATCCTGTCAGTGGCGGAATCATATTGTACAAGATGCCACAGGAGATACCTCATCCATATCTGCCCTTCCCAACCAGCCCAGCAAACTCATGCCTAAGTGACCACTCAGAAGGTGACGTTAGGAGAGATCCTCCATTTGCAAAGACTTACCCTTACGGAAGAGGATGTCCCCAAATTTACCATGGGTTTCCTTGGACTTCTCCTTCATAGCTTGGAAACTGGTCTTCTTGGCAATTCTGGAAAACTCTTCCTCACTCAGAGAGAATCCAAAGAAAGCAGCAATCTTCTTCATTCCCAGTACCGGGTTCTAAATAAAGGAACATTGCAAAGAGGTGAAGTCAAAAGACTTTGTGGCTAGCTTATAAAGCTAGCAGAGAAAAACTTCCTCCCACAGTGTCTGAAAGCATTCACAGAGGGAGAAATCTCTCCTGGTGGCCTCAGGTTCAAGGCCTTTTCTTCTCTCCCAAAAGCACCTGATTCAGATATGATTCCTTCCACACATGAGCAAACCTTTCATGGGCCTCCTCAGGGGCATGAAGAGCAGAAAACTATGCTCTTCTACAGGCTCAGACAGGATTGATCCGATAGTTTTTCTTCCCCATACTCCCTACACATTTCAGGAAAGTTGCACAGCATGCCCATGAAGTAGAGTTGTCTTAGATGCCACACCTCTTTCAGTTCCTCATAGCTAATCATCATCATCCTCTCGTGGTCAATGTGTCTGTTCCATTCCATTAAGTGGTCAAAGTAGGACCCCCAGGCCACTGCAGATAAAGAAAAGAGGCATATCTGTGCAGGATAGCCACCAAAACAGGCTGACTCAGACAAGTCAGCCTAGATAGCTATCTAAGCATTACACCAGGATGGGGAAATGCGGACTAGGTAACATTTGTTGAGGTCAATGAAGGATCCTCCAGCTATGGCCACTAGATAGCACTGAACCTCCAGCTTTATTGAAAGAATGGAAAGGCTCAGTCTTTGTTACAATCTTACCATTCTGAATCAGACACAAAAGAAATTCAAATTCTCTGGTATACCCTTTTTCAGCCATAACATGAATCTATCCTATCGTCCTGAGATTGTCTTGGGAAAGTATGTTGGAATAGGATTCCCAAGTGCAGGGATTTATGCATGCCCCTCAGGTGGAGAGGAATTCCAGAGGATGCAAGGTAAAGTACATTTCCCATTCATGAAAGCTGCGAAGTACTCATCCCAGGTAGCAAAGGAGGGCAGCACTGGCATGTTGTTGTAAAAGTGGTAATAGGAGACAGCCGTGTCTTTGGGATTCCGAACCAGCAGAAGGATCTGCAGGAAGAAAACATATGTGTCTTCTCAGCACATCACATGTTCACAACCACACACCACGCATTGATAGGACAGTCTGATTCCTCTTGTTTAATAAGAAATGAGAGCCTTTGCAGACAACTTGTGTGCTTAAAGATAAAAAGAAATAGCTTTTTAGTGATACCCTTAGGACTCGGCTTTGAACTAGCTCAGATACAAAGAAATGAGCTCAAGGTCTCCACACCAGGAGACACACAAGCAAGCTGTGGGTGAACCCATGCTTTTCTCTGCAGCAGTTCTCATCAAAGATCATCTGATCATCTTAGTCTGAGCCCCTCCTGGGCTTTCCACAGGTATCCATATCTTAGAGGCAAGTTAAAGTAGGTGGAATAAGTACTTGCCATGCTCGGTTTCCTGATACAGATTTGGAAATTTGTTTCTGAGATCTTAGGAGCAGTAGCATCCAGCTGCAAACCCACTGGCAGAAAATACTTGAGTCAGCAGAGCTACTGGTTTTGGAGAGCATTTTTATTCATACCCTCAATGCATAGCACTCTCCCTCTTCTTTGTTGGAAATGCATCTATGCACTGACCAGCCTGGTGAAAATGCAAAAAAATCCATCTCATCCAGGCAGATGAAAACTAACTTGAGGTGGAAATACTTTTGCAATGTGGTGCAAAGAAAAGACTCACCTTAACCTTCCCTTGGAGAAGAGATGGGGGCAGGTGATGAGGTGGCAGATGGGTTAGTATGATTCTTCGGGAAGGCAGCTTCTTCATCCTCTTTAAATCAAGTGGGAGAAATGGGACAGAATAAAAATAACTTACTCAGGAATCATGGGTGATAAGTAAAGAGGAAACCAGAGAAGGATCTTTTCCCTTAGGAAATCCCAGGGACGTGCTGATGGTGTTGGCTTCTATTAGCCTCTGCCACAGAACAGCATTTCACGTGAGACAGGCCTGAGAAAGATCTTACAGATTAAACCTACTGGTTCCAGGACTGAACCTCTTGAGTATCCTCATAACTTGCTGGTCCTCTAAAGCATTTGCACTGGAACACTAGGGGCAATAGGACATGCTGGCTGTGCTGACCTTTACATTTGTTACTGCTCTAAATCTGTCTATTACTTCTGAGATAAGGCCATTGTTTTTCAACTGTTACTACCTGTAGAAAAAGTATTGCCAATATTCTTTCAGTTACTACTCACCTCAAATACTCCAGGATCTCCAAACTCCAGACGTGGAAACATCTGTAGCTCCTTTTCGGCATTTATTCTCTCTTTCATTTCTTCTTCAGTATATTTAGCATCTGCTGATTCTATCTCTCTCACCATTTGTTCAAGCCAGTTAGTTCCTGAAAAAATAAATACTCCAATAGCAAATCCAGTCTGGGCTGTACATCTTTTCCTGTCAACTGGATGGCAGAATATCCTGTCAAATTGGTTCACATCTATGAAGCAGTACACCTTGCCCTTTCAACATACTGGCAGTAATAATCAGGACGTGTCAAGATCCAAGAGAAGCAGAACTGTCAGCCAAATGTGTAATGCTACCTTGCTCATTTCAGAAACACATCACATCCCTCAGAGGTAACAGAAGCAGAATCTCAGGATACTCCTAAGGAAAATAACAGCAGTGTTGCTCCCAGCATAGGGGTGTTCTCCTTCTACAGCATTGCCTTTGGGAGTATCCTGTTCCCTCCTCCTGACTAGCTTCAGTTTTCATTTTCTTCATGGCCAACAAATTTTGGTCTCATTCCCAGGCTTCAGGAAGGTAGGAGAAGGATTAATTGACCAAATCAAAAGACCATCAAGATATGTCATTATCTTTGCGCTAGGCTCAGCTGTCTTCACTTCTGCCATCTGGCACAGGTGGTATATGAAGCACGCACTGGGTTTGAAGATCCAAGTCTCAGTTTTCATTTTACATCTTCTGGAATTCATAGCTGGACATTTTTGCTTGTATGCAGCTCTACAAACTGCACACAAAAAGAACGCTATAAATATCATCAACTCCTCTTTCTGCATTTGACCTGTTCAGATATCTCTGTGAAGTGATTAAGGACAAACAGAAAGGAAACCAAAATGCCTGTGTGGAAGGGAGAGGAAAAAAAATCCAGAATCCTAGTAGCATTTATGCCTTTCCAAACAGTTAGATACGTGGGAATCACTTGTATTCTGTAATGCGGTAAGTAATAGGAAAGTAGAGTTCTTCTATCTTCATTTCTAGAAAACAGTTCCTGTATTGCCTTTGTAGCAAGTAGGGTAATAACATACTGTCTTGCATTAGCAAGACTGTCAAGCAAGATTGCATTACAAAGTTAGAAAATCAAGAAATGTGATTATTCTGCATTAATCCAACACTGCTAATTTCACCACTTGTATACAATTTGCAGTCATACACTGAAGTACAAGAGATTTTAAGTATATGGGGAGGAGCCTGCTTAAAGCTGCTGAAATCATCTGGACCTGAAGTGAATGAAACACATATTACTACAGTCTTCCTCTATCGGAGGTAATAGTGAACACGAAGCTAACTCTTCTGAGAATAGGCTAAGACAATAGGAAAATGTTAAAATCACAATTGGATGTCTGACTGCACAGAAGTTACATAAAACAGAACAAAACACTATAGTGGGAGAACTCCACAGTAGTTTTCCAAAGAGGAGGTAGATCTCCATCCTCAGTGTTTTAAAACTTCTGGATAAAATCTTTAGTACCCACACCTGAATTTGGAGGCGAGTCTTTCCACAGCTTTGCACGTGAGGTTAGATTAGACGACTTCCAAAGATGCTTTACAACTTAACCTCATATAATCATATGGAAACTGATGCCACTATAAGTTTTTCACAAGTATTACTGCTGTGTTAAATGATGGTACATACTCCAGGATTACAGCGTAGTGCATTTGACTATTAATCAAGCAAGCAACACTCACCTGTTTTAGGATAGCCTGCTAGAATCACATCACTGCTCCTGGTTTCAAAGGATTTCAGAGCTTCCAAAGTTTCTGGACTGCTAAGTGCAGCAGGATACAGAATACCATTGTAGGAAAACAGCAGATCTTCTGGGGAAGTCTTTTCATTCTCTGCAAAACAATTTTCTACAATTTCAATGACTCTTTCCCTATTTCTGCTCATGCTTACAACCCCGTGAAACTTTTCTCAAGCAGAGATACAAACTGTCTTTTCACAGTGCAAGAGAACTTTATACAGTGTGTTAGGAAACTGGAAAGGGCATTCACTCAGAAATGAAGATACGCATAACTCATTAACTCAATTTGAACTATTATCCCCTTTCAAAATAACAGGACAGGAGACAAGTAGCAGTGACATGGAGTCTCTGCCATGTCTGAAAATACCAAGAGTAGTCTGTTCTCTACAAAGCATTACTGCTAGGGAAGCAACAGTAATATTGGTAGCATTCAAAACATTGAATGAAATAAGGGAAAGACCTACAAAGGTTGTAAAGTACTGCTTAAAATATTTTTAACACCTGAGCTATGCAGTGTGATTTCTGAACTAAATGACCAGCATATATAGTGGTTATGTAGATAGTAGATCTTAATCTGATTTGCTACTGACTCCACTAATGAATGCAACTTTCTTCCAGGTGCTCTATCTTCAGTCAGTCACTGTCACATCATTGCTTTATGTGATATATTCAGAGCTAAAGACAAGTACTACCTAAATCATACTTCTCATGATTAAATAATCCCATCTGAGACCTTTTACTTCACCATTTCCTACAGGAGGATTGCTTTCATGTGAAACTCAAATACTTATGTTCTACAATTAAATTGGTCAAATTCATCTGTATGTCATCAATTCTATTTCTTTCTACACCTGTCCATAGTTTAATCTTTGGGTGAAATTGTTCTTACATGGGGGGAAGTTATTTGAATCCTGGCTGATGGCTCTTCCGAATACAAAGAGTAATAACATGGAGAAATATGTATCTCCACAAGTTCTTATGAATTCTTTCTCTGCTACTTTCAGTTCTTTGCCCTGGCCTCCATATTTAGAAGTTAAATAACTTAAAATCATATATTATATACATACTAGTTTTTCCACCAGAATGTTAAAAATAATGTTGAATATAACCAGGAATTTTCAATAAAGGATATTGCTTTGTCTTCCCAACTTTGCAGTGATCCAGTATACATAGCTGGACCTTGAACAAACTGTTGCAACAAACTTAATGACAGCCATGTAAACAAGTGGATATAACTGCAAATATTGCTGCTGATGCCCTGGTTCTGGATGCTTATTACTGCTTCTAGGAACCCAAATCTACTTTCAGTACTTTAATTCTTCAAGCCCATTTGCAAATTACAATCTGTGATGGATGCAGTGAACTTCTGCACTTGACATAAGTCTTCCTCAGGCTTACTAACACATTAGGCCTTGATGTAGTTGTTACTTGAATGGGACTTAATAATAAAGCACCAGGTGGGTGCACAACCATGACTGCAAACCAAAGGGGGCACAGCACTAGAGCAAGTGCCCATTGAAATCTCTCAGGAGAGATAACAAAACCATGTCCCTCAGCACAACATTTAAACATTCCTTGAACACCTCCAGGGAAAGTGACTCCACCAACACCCTAGGTGGCCCATTCCAGCACCTGACCACTCTTTCAGAGAAGTAGTATTTCCTAACATCCAGCCTGAATCTCCTCTGGGGCAACTTGAGGCCATTCCCTCTAGTCCTATCACACACAAGAGGAGGGGCTGACCCCCAGCTCACTACAACCTCCCTTCAGGTAGTTATGGAGAGCGATAAGGTGTCCCCCGAGCCTCCTCTTCTCCAGACTGAGCAACCCCAGCTCCCTCAGCTGCTCCTCAAAAGGCCTCCCCAGGGGTCATCGCCCTTCTCTGGACACGCTCCAGGGTCTCCATGTCTTTCTTGCAGTGAGGGGCCCAAAACTGAGCACAGTACTCGAGGTGCGGCCTCACCAGAGCTGAATACAGGGGGACAATTACTTCCCTTATCCTGCTAGCAACACTATTTCCGATACAAGCCAGGATGCCACTGGCCTTCTTGGTCACCTGGGCACACTGCTGGATGATATTCAGCTGAGCTTCAATCAATGCCTCCTGTTCCATTTCTGCTACACAGTCTTCCAGCCACTCTGCCCCAAGCTTGTATCATTGCCTGGTATTCTTGTGGCCAAGGAGCAGGACCTGGCACTTGGTCTTGTTGAACTTCACCCCTTTTGTTCCAGCCCAGCAATCCAGCCTGTCCAGATTCGTCTATAGGACCTCGCTACCCTCGTGCAGATTGACATTTCCAGCCAACTTGGTGTAATCTGCAAACTTACTGAGGGTACAGTCAGTGCCCTCATCCAGGTCATCAATAAAGATATTGAAGAGGACAGGCCTCAGCACTAACCCCTGCAGAAAACAACTCATGACCGGCTGCCAGCTGAATTTAACTCCATTCACCACCACACTGAACCTGGCCTTCTAGACAGCTCCTTACCCAGAAGAGAGTGTACCTTTCCAAGCCATGGGCTGCCAGCTTCCCCAGGAGACCATGTTGAAGGAGTCTTGCTCCAATTTATAGGTAAGAGAGGAGTTCAAGCTGGGCTTTTGCCTTTCTAATTTTCTCCCTGCACATCCTAACAACATCTCTGTACTCTCTCCAAGTTGCCTGTCCTTTCTTCCAGGAGGTAGATTCTCCTTTTCTCCTGGAGCCTCAGGAAAAGCTCCCTGTTTATCCACACCTGTCTTCTTTCCCAGCAGCTCATCTTGTGGCTCAGGGATTTAACCTGTTAGTTAGTTAGCCTGTTAGTTAGTTCCTGTGCCTTTAAGACTTCCTTCTTGAGGAGCAACCAGCCTTCCTGGATCCCTTTACCCTCCAAGACTAAATCCCATGGGACCCTCCATACTAGTCTCCCAAACAAAGTATTATAAAGTATTATTTCTAATAAAATAGAAATTTCTATGCCTTTGCAAAACTGCATTACTACTTGTGCAGGCAGCCTTGAGTATCTTTAGAAGAATAAAGCAAAAAGTTATTGAACATTTTATTCTTTTCTTTTGCATCTCTAATTTTTACCTCTTCTTAGGTGATGTATCTGTGTATAGTTTAGGTCCCTATCACCTTTTTTTTTTCTCTTCACAGAACAAGTGGCTGAAGTGCAGATATACCTTGAGCAGGTCTGAAATACTGTGTTTGCAGTGTCAAATAGTAGCACTGACACAAAATAACTGAATGCTGTAATGTCTTCCACAATCCTGAGAACAATCCCATATGCTTATTAGAGCCACTTACAAAGTATTTTGGCATTTTCAGATAATTTTCAGTTATGAAAATTAATCTATTTCAATGTATAGGTATTAATTTAAATTAAAGCTTAAATGTAGACCTGTTGCTAAATCAAGAATGAACAAAGGGAATGCTAAGTATAGTTCTGTGGTTAAGAGCACTCCACTGGCTTTAATGGCAGGAAACACAATCTTCAGGTCTATATTCTCTACCTCTTTTACTTTATTGTTGTCTGTAGCAGGAAAAAGAACAGCAGTTCTTAGAAGAAGCACAAAGGTGTATAGTTTAAGGAGTATCTTCAAACACAAGAAAAAAACATTGGATCCATGATTTTCTTTTTACCAACTTTTACGCAGGTAGAAAGATTGTTTTCAGTGGACCAAGAGAAAATTTACATGATATGAGAATGAAAATTAATTTGAGATTTTTGTTGTGTTCCACAAAGAGAATTATTATACATAAAAATGGTCCTTATTGCATCTGGGCTACTAATACCAATCTGTAATCTGAATTTCAGCTTGAAACTCTACACTCAGAGAGAATAAAGTCCTTAAAAATGATGATTGCCATTCCCTTTCATTATCTTCCCTCTAGCTTTTATCCAGTTTGTCTGAAGTCACAGGGAAGATATTCTTCGTCATTAATTAAGGCTATATCAAATCCATATTTTGATAGTGATCTTAATTGTGGAGATGTCACCTGATCTGAGGCATTTTTGGAAGAAAAAAAAAAAAAATTAAAAAAAAAAAAAAAAAAAGAGATCTCCACATGCTAAATAACCCTATGTAAATTATCCAGAATGACTGAGTTTGTCTGGAAAGCGAAAAAAGGCCATTTCCTTCCAGGTGGCAGCTACTGGAACAAGCCTGTCAAGTTTATCTGAATATAGTTAGTTACCATCATATTCAGCAAATGAACGTAGCCAAAGCAAGATCTCACATTTATTTAAAAAAGCCAACTATTCATTGTTGTCACTGTAAAAGTTCCTACAATGTGACTTATACAGTGATTCCAAGATGCTTTGATTGCTTCATCTAGCTTCATTTTGTATATCATTCAGATGATCAAAGAGCACAGTGGAAAGCTATTGGTCTAACCACATTTCATTACTCTTCAGGCTTTGCAGTACACTTCATACTTCAACTTTGCTCCTAGTTTTGTTCGTGCTATACGTTCTTCAAATACTTTGTCCATTTTCTCATTCTGCTCTTCACTGAAAAGATTCTTCCAGTCACTTACACCACCTTCAAAGAAGCAAATAAACTCTTGAAAAACAAGAAATCATATTTCTCAGTTATATACATAAAGTGTAACACTTTATAATATATGGGCAAAAAATAAGCCAGTGATGAATGGCTTAGGTTCTTGAGAGCATCATGTTTCTGCCTCTGGACCTCCAGAAGCTCCCTACCTTTGCGAAAGAGCATGCTGCCCAGAGCCCCATGGGTCTTCAGAGAGTTCTCCTTCATGGACTGGAAACTGCTTCTCTCCACTACACTCCGAAGCTCTTCCCCAGTCAGTGAAATCCCAAGGAAAGAGGCAATGTTTTTCACTCCCATGTCTCGATTCTGAAAAGAGGAATGTTAGATACCATATGACATTCAAACAAATTACACTGCTTTCATACCAAAGTTCTTTCAAGGCCCAGCATCTCTCAATTGGCTGCATATTTAGAGTTTTCAGAGTTCAGCAGGACTGGAGTGCCATGTATTGTTTCTCTTTGTTATCATTCTAAAGAAAACATCATCTGTCTTCCTGTATATCACAGAAAATTGCATATGATTTACAGTTGAGCCAAATCTACACTGCTGAATATACAAAAGCTCCAAAAAAGAATTACCGGGGATTTTGATTTAAAATCACCTGGGGGAAAGAAAGAATCATATTTACACATACACACACACACACACACACACACACACACACAAAAGCTTACAAGCTGGAAATCCATCTTGTCCTCTAAAACAAGAATCTGACTCATACATGTATCATATAGTTTTTATACACTGTGTGTGTATAATGTTTTATTGACTTAGAAACAATTACTCTTTGAAGTGTAAAATAAGGAAGTGTAAAATATGGTGAATGGAGATAAACCTAGCTGGTAACTAGTCACACGTGCTGTTCCCCAGGGATCAGTATTGAGGCCCATCTTGTTTAATATCTTTATTGATGATCTGGATAAGGGAATTGAGTGCACCCTCAGTAAGACACCAAGCTGGGAGGAAGTGACCATCTGCCTTAGAGTATGAAGCACCTACAAAAGGATCTGGACAGGCTAGATCAATGGGATGAGGCCAACGGGATGAAGTTCAACAAGACTGAGTACCAAGAACTGCACTTTAGCCACAACAACCCCTACAGGCTTGAAGCGGAGTGGTTGGAAAGCTTCGTTATGGGAAAGGATCTGGGAGTGTTGGCTAATGCTCAGCTAATTGTGAGCCAGCAGTGTGC